TGCATTTTCCACCAATGTGTCACTGGCCCTCTCAAATAACTCACATCTTTGTCAGTGAAGCTGAGTGCTCCCACATCTCTTCCCCCATGGTGCCCATCTACATTAAGATCCAAAATTCTGAGATTAAAGTCAGAATTGTGAGAAAAAAGTCTGATATTCTGAGATTAAAGTCAGAATTCTGACTTTTTCCCCCCATTTTAAACTGAAATAAAATTAAAAAATCAGTTACCTTTTTTTTTTTTTTCAGTGGCCCTAATCCTCTTCCGTAAGAAAGCCCATTGTCTTTCGTATTGTCCGTTGTGCACACTGTTGTTAACCACTGTGGGTCTAAGTCAACAATCAATTAATCAATTTCTTTATTGTCAACTACAATTTTTATTTTAATCAAAGTAAACAAAGTTCTTGGTATTGCATTTATATTGTATATTTCCGAGTCAGATCTCTGGACTAAAGCAAGAACTCTAGTTCATACAAAGATTTGAAGCATTTTGTTAAAATATTGACCGTGCCGCTAACCAACGCCCTAATCTTTGGTTTAGATTTCTAGAGAATTGGACTACCAGAAGAAGAATGGAGACGATATTTTACATCCTTTGAAACGTACATCCTAATTTTATGCTCTTGGTTCATTTTACTCCCTCAGGACCGAGTACCACCTGTACGGAGGAGTCCTGCTACCATCAGGGAGTCTGTCTCCAGCAGTGGGAGGGCTTCACCTGCGACTGCACCATGACGTCCTATGGAGGCTCATTTTGCAATGACCGTAAGTCGTTTCTTGTTTCTTTGTTTGAAGTTGCTGCAGTTTGAATGTGAATAGGCTTGAATGATTGAAGGTACATTGGTCAATGCTTTGGATTTCTTGGATTGGGTTTTATTTTTGGACTTTGTTTGGATAAAACAGGATGGAATAGAAGGATGCTGTCATTCATTCAGTGAAACTCTTTGTAGAAGTGTAAAATAGGTTTTCTTATCTTTTTCTGTTGCGTCTTGGTTTGCCTTGAACCGACTAGGGAGCCTTTTTATCTCTCCAGTGTTGTACATTTTACCTCGCACCGTTTTGCTGTTTAGTCAGATGTGTTTGCAGAATCTGCTTAAATATTAAAGCTAATATATAAACAGCTATGTAAGCATTATTAAGAGCTCATTTGCTCCTTTACTTCAGCAGCACTAAAAATAGGGTGCAGCCAGAATATTTCATTCCCCTGATAGGTTTAGTTGCACATTATTCCTCAAAACGTTGCCAAGTCCAAAGTTCAGCTTAAGGCGGGTTCCTTCGACTCTGCAGTGCTGCAAACCCATGCTGTGAGAAGAAAAGCTTATTTAGGCCTGTTGTCCCTGTCATGGAGTCACCTGCTGAGAGGATCGCACCCATGCTGTGAAAAAAATAAAACAATGCAACAAAAACAGAATGGAGTTATCACAAAAAAATGTTGCTTATTTGAATGTTTTGTCATTGCTTCCATGGAAGCCTGACGCTTTATGTTTGCAGGCAGCACATTGTAGATAGTGAGGATTTAGTGCTGAGCATGCAGACATACACCGAGTGCTAAGAGGTTAGTTTCATTAAGACATACCTCTTTTTTTTCCTCTCAGTATTCAGTGAGAATTTAAAAAGATACGGTAAATAAGGATGAAGAAGCTGACCTCTTGTCAGTGAACAGTTTCTGGAATTAATTAGAAAACACTCCTTTAGCCTTAAGGAAAGTGACTGAGAGGTTTATCCAGCGCCGGCTTCTCATTACGCAATATGAATTGGTATTAGTTCAGTGGGCCAGCTCATGTTAAGCTGCTGCAGCCAAGATTGAGTCGGTCTCAACTAGTAAGCAAAGATGTTTATTGCTTTTGAGCGATGAAACTGATGTTTATTAGGAATACATTTGCATGAGAATTTGTTTGAGTGTTACACATTCAATATGGTAAAAGGTTCTGCACTGTAGGAATCTGCAAGGAAGGAAGGAGTTAATTGCTTTCTGTTGAGGCTGAAAGTTTATATGCTGTCTTCATTTTTGAAGAAAAATGCTCATGTTTGTGGAATCACCGTAATTTTCGGACTATTAGCCGCACCTGAATATAAGCCGCAGAAGCTAAATTGCATGATTTGTACATATACAAGCCGCACCGGACTATAAGCCGCAGGTTTCACACAAACTGTCTTGCGTTCGCAATGTCCGTCTTTCTCGCTGTCGTTCTGTCTCATACCACTCGCGGTGGAAGTCTGCTTCCGGAGGACCTCCGCATACCCGTACTTGTGTGTTGAAGCAAATGTGACGTCAACATGGCGGATGATAAAATCTGTCATGGTTTTGGTTATGTTATGCTTTACTTTCCTTCTTGTTTTCTAGTTTTATTGGTTTAATTCCTATTTTGTTGTAATTTCTAGATTTATGTTAGTTCTCATGTTGTCCTCTGTTGCCCTCTTGTGTGTGTGTGTGTTCCTTTCCCCTTGGCTCCCTCGTTGTCTCCTCACACCTGCTCCTTGTGAGCTTGTTAGCCCTCCCTTTGTCTCTGTCAGCTATATATGATCTCCGTCTGCTTTCACTCTTTGTTGGTTCCTGTTAGTGCTGGTCCTGTCTTCGCTGTAGTCGTCTCCCCTCGTCTCTCCCTGGCTCCTTCTACGTGTTTTCCCTTGAAGTCTCCATGGTTCTGGTCTTTTACATTTTTAGTTGGATTTTTGGACTGCCTTTGTTAACCATTTTCATTAAAACGACAAGTATTCACCTCTGCATTTGGGTCTACCAAACCACAACCAACCCTGACAAAATCCATAGATTTAGTTATTACCCAAGTGGCCGTTTGCTGTAAAAGTCCATAGATAAGCCGCATTGTTATATACGCCGCAAGGTCGAAAAATGGGGAAAAATTTGGGGCTTATAGTCCGAAAATTACGGTAATGTTTAAGCTAAGGTGTTCATGTGTTTGGTGTGTGCCTGATTTAAGAATGACCTGACAGAGGGACCTTCACCAGCAGCCTTGTTAAACGTTTTCTTTCCAAAATCAACTAGGACAATCTTTAAACAGGAATAGTAAGTTTGTTTTTTGTTTTTTATTTCAAACCCTAGACATGTGAGACAATATGAGGCAATCAGCAGTGACATTTGCATGGCATATGTGGTCATAGTCAGAGTTTTAAAGAGGTATTGGCTGCTGGTAAGAGTTCACTCACAGCTGTGTTTCTGCAAAGTTTTTGTCACGAGAGGTTGCCACACTGCACTGCTGAGCATCTGAGAGACCCTGGCTGCTGATTTGTCACTGATTGACCTGTCAAAGGGCTTTATTTTTTCAGATTTCATTTATAAAATTGTCTTTTTCAGATTATGTTTTACTGATCACATTCTCTTCACTTCTACACCCGATACAAAGGGTTGTTGCTAAAGTCAACAGTTCACACAGTGCAGTTCACAAAACACACAACCTGGAAAGGAGAAATTTGAAAATAAAAAATATGAGAAACAGAAGTTTAAAAAAAAAACAAAATCTGAGAAAAAAAAAAGCTAATTTAATCTCAGACCTTCTTTTTTGATTTGGAAGTTTCTTTTTAGATTGCATTTAGCTCTATTTAGAAAACGTGTTCTAACCCTAACCTCTTAAAGAAATAATGGGACAAAATTCACTCCATATTAAACAAACCCAAAAACTTTAAACCTGTTAATGGAGTTCCAGGTTCCCACTTATGTAGATAGCAGTGTGGCTGCCTGTACTGGTTTTTATGCTCTGTTACTGTTTTTTTTTTTGTTGTTGCCTTTTTCCTCCCTCGAAACAGCAGCACATTTTCTGAACTCATCTTCTGAAAAGCTTCCTGCCATTTACAAGCAAAAAAAAAAAAAAACTGTTCATCTCTTGACCTTGAGGTCTTCTCTTGACTTCCGTCTCTTTACTCCTGCCCTCTTTGCGTCTTTTTGGTGTTCTCTCTTCATCTAACGGGGATGTTTCACCAAATTAACATTTCTTGGAATAAGCCAACGTTCAATGAAAATTTCTTGAATCATCTATCAAGTCAAAGGTAGGAACTTTTACAATACATCACCTGACTAGTTCATCTGCACAATCTATTCTGACAATCTTATTTTTTTTATCCTTCAGTATTGACGTTTAATACCTTTCTAATATGGCATCTAATTTCCATGTTGTGCATAAAGATACAAATTCCAGAGAAACTCAAGAAAAGGCAGCGTTGTTGTATAGAAACTTCCATCTAACAAGTGAAACGCTGCACAGCTGCATAGCTTTCATGTCATAAATTATACACGTAGAAGGAGAAAAGCAACACTTAAATGGTGCCTTCAAAAATAGTCAAGAAGTAAAAGTGATTGGCATTTCTTTTGATTTCCTCTGTGTGATAAGAAGCAAACAGCCAAGAATAGAGTAATTATTTTACGTGTTGTCCTTTTCATGTGAAAGTTACGGAAAAGTGAAGAAGAGCTTTTCACTGGGTGTTTCTTTCTGTGTGTGTTTGGTCTTAAAATACCAATAAGCTTTACCTGAATAAAATCATATTTTACTTTACTGGATGCTGAGAACCCATATGCTCACAAAATGATTGTGTTTGTGATGTAAACATTATTCAGTGTCGAAGGGCTTTTGTATTATTTCCTCTACATGAGCCCTGAATCATTTGTTTTACTTGGGGAGGAAAGGTTGTCAAAATTATTGACACTGCAGTTATTATTATTTATGAATTCAGATGTGCAATTCAGCAGAGAGGATGATTCACACAGATATAAAAGGTTGCATTTTCTGGAATTTTTCCTTCTTTATTAAATGGAGTCGGTTGTTGGTTTAAGGAAAATCAACAGTACTTTCCAAAAGTATCCATACAAACTTAACCTATTCATTTTTTCTCCATTTTATCGTTATTACAGTCTGCTTTATTGGAATTTAATACCATAGACCAACATGAGGTAGTGCATTAGTAATGCACTGGTATGAAGGAAATGATTGAACAGAAAACAATTGTGAAAAATGAGGTGTGCGTTTGTACTTCGGGAGCATAAGTAAATAACCTCCTTTCCTTTGCTGAGACTTTCCGCCACATCTGAGAATCTAAAAGTCACCTATGTTTAGTTTTTGGAAACAATTAGAATTTCCTTCAGCTGCATTTTCCAGGACAAAAGTTTTCGGTCATGGGGTAGGATTATTCCGAGCTTCTTGAGCGGCAGGGTTGAAGCAGGTTGTTCAAACTAAAGTGCAATGGCGGAGGGAAGCTGCAAACGTTATTTAAGGCGTGATATATTTTACCTTTTTGTGAAACCTAATCAACTTTTAAGATACTTTAACATATTATATAGATATCAACTGTAACAGAATTTAAACCAATATTCAAAACGCTAATATTTGACAACTCTATCCATCCATTTTCGGTCAAGCTTATCCCAGCTGGGGTCGCGAGGGATGCTGGTGCCTATCTCCAGCTGTCTACGGGTTAGAGGCGGGGTAGACCCTGGACAGGATGGCAGTCCATCGCAGGGCAACACAGAGACAAACAGGACAAACAACCATTCATGCACACACTCACACCTAAGGAGAATTTAGAGAAGCCAATTTAACTTAACAGTCATGTACCTGGAGAGAGTACCTGGAGAGAACCCACGCATGCACAGGGAGAACATAAAAACTCCATGCAGAAAGACCCCTGGTGGGGAATTGACTGCAAGGCAGCAGCGCTACCCACTGCGCCACTAAGTAGCCCTATTTGATAACTCTACTGGTAAATAAATTATAATGAATATTTCCTAGACCTACTTACAGACCAAGCTAGGCATCGAG